TGTACTGCTAATTTGTAGAATGTGCTTTGGATCTAAAAACTCAATAATAAAAAAAAGGACTATCAGGCTAACAACTCAGTAATGCAGTTTTCATGTACTGCTAATTTGTAGAATGTGCTTTGGATCTAAAAACTCAATAATAAAAAAAAGGACTATCAGGCTAACAACTCAGTAATGCAGTTTTCATGTACTGCTAATTTGTAGAATGTGCTTTGGATCTAAAAACTCAATAATAAAAAAAAAGGACTATCAGGCTAACAACTCAGTAATGCAGTTTTCATGTACTGCTAATTTGTAGAATGTGCTACACCGTATCAAAATGGCTGAAGCCTATTTCGAGTTCCGTCTTCTGAAATTTATCAATCAAATCCTTTAAAAAAAGAAACATTTGCACTTCTCACTTCATACCTTGAAGAATTGTTTGTTTTGAATTTCGCGCAAAGCTACACGAGGGCTATCTGCGCTAGCCGTCCCTAATTTAGCAGTGTAAGACTAGAGGGAAGACGGCTAGTCATCACCACCCACCGCCAACTCTTGGGCTACTTTTTTACCAACGAATAGTGGGATTGACCGTCACATTATAACGCTCCCACGGCTGAAAGGGCGAGCATGTTTGGTGGGACGGGGATTCGAACCCGCGACCCGCAGATTGCGAGTCGAGTGCCCTAACCACCTGGCTATGCCTGGCCACTTTGAAGAAAATCAGTTACTAAATCCTTTAGATAAATATAGTGTTTCCATTTATTTTTCAAAATGTAGAAACACAATGCTCTGCTCTAAGAAAATATCTCTCAATGCATTCATGCAATAATTTGTGCTTCTGAGCTGAGAGTTATTATAAAAAAATAATGATTATTTTGTAAGGCTTAATATTACTCCATGACAACGAACACTGCAAAAGGCCAAACGTATTTTGTTGTATATATACAAACTGAAATTAACTATCTCAGAAATGGTAAATATAAACCAATATATTGAGTTTTAATAGGTTGATTTACTTCTGATTCTTTCGTAATCTTGAAAAGTACAGCACATTGTTCTTTCAAGGATTACTTTGTAAATAACAAGACATATTTTTTTCGCGCTGTAATTTTTTTCAACATTCTTCTATAAAGAAGAGACGTTTGTTTCTTTCGCTGTTCGGTGAGTGGCTCAGGGCTCTAAAAGTTATATTTAAAAATTGTGTCGGCTCGAGCTAAATCAACGTCACTTGTCGTTACAAACTTTCAAGTTGTGTTTGTATCGGTTCTACTGAAATAAAAGTCAGTTATCGTTACCAGTTTTAAGCTTTGTACTTGTATCGGTTCTGTATAAACCATATCAGCTATCGTTAGATGCTCCCCACTTTTTCTCGCTCTAACTAAATTAACGTCAGTTAGCGTTAAAGTCTTGATTTAACTCTAAATAAATTAACATTAGTTATCTCTGAAACTTCTATCGGTTTTAAATAAAATAATCTTAGTTATTTTATTAATTTCTATCGGTTCTAACTAAACTAAAGTTAGTTATCTTACAAACTTCTGTCGGTTTTAACTAAACTTCTGTCAGTTATCTTACAAACATCTGTCAGTTCTAACTAAACAATTGTCAATTACTTTAACAAACTTCTATCGGTTTTAAATAAAATAATCTTAGTTATTTTATTAATTTCTATCGGTTCTAACTAAACTAAAGTTAGTTATCTTACAAACTTCTGTCGGTTTTAAATAAAATAATCTTAGTTATCTTACAAACGTCTGTCAATTCTAACTAAACAAATGTCAGTTACTTTAACAAACTTCTATCGGTTTTAAATAAAATAATCTTAGTTATTTTATTAATTTCTATTGGTTCTAACTAAACTAAAGTTAGTTATCTTACAAACTTCTGTCGGTTTTAACTAAACTAATGTCAGTTATCTTACAAACATCTGTCAGTTCTAACTAAACAAATGTCAGTTACTTTAACAAACTTCTATCGGTTTTAAATAAAATAATCTTAGTTATTTTATTAATTTCTATTGGTTCTAACTAAACTAAAGTTAGTTATCTTACAAACTTCTGTCGGTTTTAACTAAACTAATGTCAGTTATCTTACAA